AGGGTGAACGTGGGAAGAAAGGTAATTATGAAAATAATTGATCTTCTACAAAGGCAGTGTTTGAAACATGCCATTGAAAACCCGCTTCGCCTCGGAGGTGATGGTATGGTTGTTCAAATAGATGAAAGTCTATTTCGACACAAACAAAAATACCATCGTGGCAGACAGCCAGAAAGAGAGATATGGGTATTTGGTTTGGCAGATGTGTCATTCACCCCAGCTAAAATCTCATTGCATGTTGTTCCCAATAGGGCAGCCTCCACGCTTTTACCAATAATAGAGGAAGTTTGTTTGCCTGGGAGTGTAATACACTCTGATGAATGGCGAGCTTATGCTCGCATTGGAAATAGTAATTTCAGATTTTCTCATTTTACTGTTAATCACAGTGAAACCTTTGTAAACCACCAAATTGGTGTTCACACTCAGAACATTGAAAGTGCATGGAATTATGCAAGTATGTTCTAAAAATGCACAAAGGTGTTGTGGAATCAAAGGTTAATTTATTATTAAAGGAACTAGTTTGGAAAAATAATCTTGGATTTAATAAGAACTTTGAAGAATTATTAATATTATTAAGATTTTAATAAATTTATTTTTAATTATTTTTTTGTTTATTTTTCTGGGGAAAAAAAAGGACTTGTTTTTGTTTTGGGGAAAAAAAGGGACTTGATCCGATTTACTTTTAAAATATCAAGTTTTTACTTGGTATAATATTTTTGAAAGAATAAAAAAACTAATAAGAAATGATGTTTGTATACTAATTTGGAAAAAAAGAATTAAATATAAATACAAACAACTTTATATTCAAAAATATGTTTTATGTGCAGAAGAATGTTATAAGTTAATTTGTTATAAACTATGACTTGAAACTTTACTTTTAATTTTGAAATTATTAAAGATCGAATTAAATGATTAAACAAAGCAATAATGTAAAAAAATACCAGATTTAAATTTTTAAATTTTTATCTCAACGTTATAATAATAAATCACAAATACCATTAATGATTAAATCTATAATATAAAATCACAAAAAAGTATTAATATAAATGCCTTATTTAATATGTCTTGTATCTAAATTGAAGAAGATTTTAAAATTTATTGTTTTAAACTTCAAAAAAGTTCAAAGATGGTAGATAATTAGTTTGTTTAATAATAAATATCTAATAATTATTTAATCATTTAACTAATTAAGTTTTAAAAACATAAAATTTTTACTTTTTAAGATTAAAAAATTTTACAAAATGAAAAATTAATTTAATTCTTTAATTAATGTTAAAAAATCTTTTTTAATAGAAAGCTCCATACTTCTA